CCAGAAACCGGTCGCCACCTGGGGCAAAAGCACTTCGTCGACAGCAATCCATTCATCGTACATACTCAACGCATTTTTACAATCGACGAGAAATGCCACAACTGTCGATCGACGTCACTGATTTCTAAACGACATCACGTGAAGTCACATGCTTGTTCCCACCTATTCTCGGCTACTAAGCTCTGCTGCTTCTCACACCATTATCAGAGCACTGTCCACCACCAGTTATTGTCAATTAAGATGTACACATGATGGTCTGAGAGCACTGCTGTTATCATCTCGAAAAAAAGATATATGGAACAGTACTATGCTCTGGATAAATAAATATGCAAGACAACACTTTAAGCAAGTGCAGCAATTTAACGTTGTCAATACCAGTCCGTCGCTGTCGATACACCAAATAACATTTTTGTAATTGCGCAGTGAGATCATCAGGATAAAATAATTTTTAAATTTTAATTCTTGTATTTGCTGAAGCAGACCATAATTGTCATAATCTTCATCTTCCATCGCCGCTTCTCCCTTTAAGTCGCGGAGGCAGACGCGTCAGGCAGAGCTTCCAACGTTCCCGATCCTGCGCCAGATTCTGAGCTGCAGCAGAAGGTAACTGGTCTGGAACAGACTCCTTCCATATGCCGTAATTGTGTTAAAATATAACTTTAAGCCTTTGAAGGTTTTAAAGGTAACTATATAAAGAATTTTCAGAATTTCATTTTATAGTGCACGCCAAGGTTATAAATCTCCTCACTTTTTTTTCATTAGAATTAGGTGTTGAATTGCGAAAGTTTTCATGATGATGGTTTCTGTGCCGGAAGACGAAATATCGGAATGATGTAATGGAGTATCTTCCGTCGCGCCCAAAACCAATCGCACTAAAAGAACGCTAAAAGATATATAGTGAATTTGGTTAAGCCTCATTATTAAATGATTGTTCAGCTGCGCAGAGTCTGTGCTTCACTTCAATGTTTATATATATATGAAGAGGTAGAGAGCACACGAGAGAGCCACACGAGAGCAACCAGTTGACAACTGAATAGCCGCATCATTCAGCACATGGAATTTTTCAGAAGAACAGATGATCAGCGTTCTGCCGTTGCTGAGCACTGCATACTAGAGAACTGCATAATATCACAGGATTGAAGCAGCATCCTTCATCCGGCAGAAAAGAGTTATCTTGGAAGTTGGAAGTAGTCATGGTTGAACAAACAGAAAGCAAGTTCAACAGGCATCCGGCATGGCTTTCTAAGGTACCTGATTAAATTTCGATGCATGTACGTTTTCTAAAGTCGCTACATACTCGTCACTATGATGCTCGCTACATACTCGTCACTATGATACTCGCTACATACTCGTCACTATGATACAGATAGGTGCAGCCAGGCGATGAGTGTATCAGCATAGGAGATGTCGAGACGAGA